CTTCCTCCAGTGGTGCATTCCTCCAGCTGTGTACTTCCTCCAGCTGTGCACTTCCTCCAGCTGTGCACTTCCTCCAGTGGCACACTTCCTCCAGCTGTGTACTTCCTCCAATGGTGTACTTCCTCCAGCGGCGCACTTCCTCCAGCTGTGTACTTCTTCCAGTGGTGCACTTTTTCCAGTGGTGCACTTCTTCCAGCTGTGTACTTCCTCCAGCTGTGCACTTCCTCCAGCTGTGTACTTCCTCCAGCTGTGTACTTCTTCCAGTGGTGCACTTTTTCCAGTGGTGCACTTCCTCCAGTGGCGCACTTCCTGCAATGGTGCACTCCCTCCAGTGAGGCTCCATTTTCCAAAGTTCTGCGAACTTCAGACACAGTGCCACCCACTAGAGACAGTGTTCAAACACATGGGCCTATAGGGGATATTTGACATTCAAACAAAAATGGCATAAATGAAAAGGAAAGGAGAACAGTGAGGGGGGGGTGTGCAGGACCCTTGGGTATCTGCAGAGGATGTGGGGACTGAGTTCTGTCCTCCTTGACAGGCCCCAACCTAATTTGAGCAATTTTCTTTCTTAAAATCTGTAGTGAAGCCTCCAGTCCTGCTTCATCATGAAGCTAGTCCTGGCACCCTCTGGGTACGTGTGTACAGATGCTGTGTGTACGTGTGTACAGATGCCGTGTGTACGTGTGTACAGATGTTGTGTGTACGTGTGTACAGATGCTGTGTGTACGTGTGTACAGATGCTGTGTGTACAGATGTTGTGTGTACGTGTATACAGATGCTGTGTGTACGTGCGTACAGATGCTGTGTGTACATGTGTACAGATGCTGTGTGTACGTGTATATAGATGCTGTGTGTACATGTGTACAGATGTTGTGTGTACAGATGCTGTGTGTATGTGTGTACAGATGCTGTGTGTATGCGTGTACAGATGCTGTGTGTGCGTGTGTACAGATGCTGTGTGTACGTGTGTACAGATGCTGTGCTGCCTAATTTCATGCCAACTTGACACAAGCTAGGGTCGCTTGGGAAGAGGGAAGCTTAAGTGAGGAAGTGCCCCACACTGGCCTGAGGACAAGTCTGTGGTACACGGTCTTGATTGATGATTGATGGCATTGTTCAAGCAGAGATCCACATGACCATCTAGGACATCCAGTACAGGACGGTAAGGTGTGACTGATGAGACAGAGGAAGTGGCGTCTGTCATAGCCACAGCCTCTAAACATCAGGAGTGCCAGTAACAAGGGCTTTAACCCTGCATCCACCCTTTCCCTGGAGGAACAGGGGACCCACTTATCCTCATGGCTTCCATTACGTCTGCCTCACAGTAAAGATCAATCAGCGTAACACGTTGCATGTTTATACTGTTTTTAATGCTCCAAAGCTCTGTACAAAAAAACAAAAACAAAAACAAAAAAAAAACATAAGGTATTCCTCACAACATCCCTGTGAGGTAGGTAGGCAAGTATTATTCTCCCATTTTACAGATGGGGAAACTGAGGCAGGGAGGAACAGTGATCCGCCAGTGGTCCCAGCATATCTCCCAGTCAGTGCCAAGCATGAGAGTGTGAAGGGGCCCCCTCTGGCCTCTGACTCCATGGCTACTTCTCTGAAAATAACTGACGTGCAGAAAACAGACACCTGAGAGGCCGCGAACAGACATACAGCAGCTCGCAAAAGGAGCCGGCGAAGAGGGTCACTACTTCCCCAGGCTGGAAACAATTTTGGCCTCTTTGAGTATCATAGCTAACAGCTGACAGGTCCTTCCATCTTCCTGCTGAAGGACAGGAGCCCAGGGACTCATCCCTATCCCCAGAGAGTCAGACAGGTAACCAGCCTCCCAGGTGTGCAACCGCTGTATGTGGCAAACTGCAATCCCAGCCAAGACTCACCAAACACAGCCCTCCATGTGCACCTTCTTCCTGTGTGAACAATACCACTCATAACTCAGCTGGGTCCAAGGAAGCAGCTCGGGGATCCTGGCGAGGGTGGGCCTGGAATCTGAGGCCCGACAAGCCAACACGGGCCTGTCCCACCCTCCACTGTCCAAGAGTCAGCCTTGATCCCCCTCCCCACTCCCTCACTGGCCTCCACAGGCTCTTTCCCCACACTGGGAAGATCTCCCTGATGTTTCCAACTCCCGGGAACTTCTACCTCTGCCAGCCTAGAGAAGGAAGTGGGGAAAGGAAGACAAGAGAGATGGAGTCATCCTCCTTGTCTTCCAGGCTGGCAATACTCATGAGCCAGGAGGAGCTGGGCCGAGCTGCCTTTAACATGGACCTGCCCAGTTCATCCCCCTCGCCTACCTCAGGCAGCTACTTAGGCTGAAAGATTGAGAAGCAAGAGCAAGCCAGCCGGAGGAAGGAAGTGAAAAAGCAAACATGGCCAGCCTGCTGCCCACCTAGGCAGTCTGATGACTGTGAGAAGACAGCGGTGGTGACTGGCTGTGTGGGGAGCGCGCTCCCTGCTGGTCTGTGAGGTACACATGCTGGGCCTCGCCAGAGGCCATTACACACCCCAAGGGTTTACAGAGAATGGCTGTGCCGTCTATACACCCTACAAAAACCTCCTTCTGAAGGCTCTCAGCCCCTTAATCTCTCCAGGAAGCTGGCAAGTGTTCATCTGAAGCAGTGAGAACCTCAGGCCCCGGGTCTGCCTGGCAAGGAGCAAGATGGTGGCCTACAGGAAGGCCCCAGCGTCACAGGGCTCTGGGTCTCGGCTCCGCTCCTGCCAGCGGTGGCGGAGCCTCGACAGGGGCTGGTCCTCTGTGCTTTCCAGCTCGGGGAAGCCCAGCTGGTTGAGGATCTCGTAGATGCCAGCTTTGGTTGCCACCTGGAGAGGGCAGAGATGGGGCAGAACTTCAGGGGAGTGAGGCATCAACACGCCTACTTTCCTCATACCAGCCTCCCCCTGCTGAGCTCTGAGGCACCTGAGTCTGGGGCCCAGAGCTGCCCTCAGCCAGTTCAGCGGCTACCACAAGTCTGCACGTCCATCTCTAACCACCTTATTAAGAGGATCACTGACAGTCTTCTCTCCTGGGACTGCATGGAGCAGCCTGTGCAAGTACATGCGGCATGCCTGGGAGACCTCGCCAGCACTGGCCTGGCCACTCCAGCAAACCACATCTGGTCAGGGCGGCTGCAGAAGCAGTGTGGATGCCAGAGCAGACAGCTGCCCTTCCCTTTGCCTGGGAGTTCAGCCCAGGCAGCTTGGCTTTTTTTGTGCTGAACACTCAACAGAGAGGACTGACCCTTAGCCCCAGACTCCAACCATCTCCTACATCTTCTTGGGGACAACTCCACCTGGAGTAAAGAGATGATGCTCTTGCTGTCCCCAGGTACCCTCGCCCCAGCTCTGTCCTTCCAGAAGAGGGGCTGAAGTTGCCTGGGTCAGAGTCATGCTCCTGCCTAAACCACCAGCAGCTCTCCTTCAACATCCTTCCGCATCAAGTCCTAGAAGCAGCTGGGGAGCGGAAGAAGTATGCCCTGGCCCTCAGTTTCTCTGTCTAAGCAGAACTCAAGCAGAAAGTGTCCTTGTCCCCAGGCTGGGGATGCAGCTGCTGGTAGAGCGCTTGCTTGGCAAGCATAAAGCCCTTGGATTTGAGCCCCAGCAATGCATAAACCAACTTGGCATGGTGGTAAAGCCCTGTAATGCCAGGAAGGTGGAGGCAACAAGGTCAGAAGTTCAAGGTCATCCTCAGACACACAGTGAGTTTAGGGCCAGCCTGGGCTACATGAGACTCCCCCACCTACATTCTACTCCAGGGCTCAAAGAGGGAAGCCAAGCTTGGGCCTGCTCACCAAGCTGCTCAACATGGCCCTCATCATCTTCTGACTCAACACTCACCCTCCAGTGCAGAGATTCATTTTGCGTGCCTCCCACAGGACACCTGAGACCAGCCCCAAGACGCATCCCAGGCAGCCCGCATCCCCACATCGCTGGCTATTCCCTGTGATTCTGAACGCGCTTCCATTCCACCCTGGGCCCCTACACCCGCCCTGTACCCACTCTGACTGAGTTCCTGGTTCCTGCCCTCCACCCACTCGCATCCTGGGAGCTGTGAACTCGAATCCAGATTAGGATGCGGCCGCTGGATGGTGAGGTGGACAGGGCTAGCTTCCTGGCTGAGCAGTAATTACAGGCTGCTTTCCTCTCTCTTTCGGCCAGCACGTGCCAGGTGGGTTTGGAAGTCAAAGCAAAGAGGGATCTATCTCAGGGAACCCAGGAAGGGAGGAGCCAATAACCAGCTCCCGTGACAACCGTAAAGAAGTCTCTGAACCTCTGCAAGACCCCTGTGACCTGAAGCCCACCTGGGTCTTGCCAGGTCTGGAAGAAACACTACACACACGTATGTCACGGAGTCCCTACCACCTTCCCCGACGATGCTAACACTATTGTCACTATTTTTTTGTTTTGTTTTGTTTGTTTTGTTTTTTTGTTTTTCGAGACAAGGTTTCTCTATAGCTTTGGAGCCTGTCCTGGAACTAGCTCTTGTAGATCAGGCTGGCCTCGAACTCACAGAGATCCGCCTGCCTCTGCCTCCCGAGTGCTGGGATTAAAGACCTGCACCACCACCGCCCAGCTATTGTCACTATTCTAGTGCTGAGGACAGCTGACTTACAAGACGGGTCACCTTATCCAAGGTCATGGGTGGAAGGAGACAGGATCAGGACTGACAACCTTACCCTTGGTCTTTATAGGGCATAGATGGAAGTTGAACAGAATAATGAACCAAAGTGTCCAGGCATCCAGGAGTATTGGCCATGAGATACACAGAGCAAGCTCCCAGCTGGCAGGCTGCCCTTCTCATCCCCTTCTCTCCCTCCTCCATCCATTCATCGACTCAGTAGTCACACTTACCGGCTGTCTGCCTGGTGAAGACACCGGGCAAGGGACACAACCGCTGAGTGGGACACAATCTCCCAGGAGAGTAAGACCCTCCCCGTTCCATGGGGGAGCTTGTCACCGGGGTCCTTACAGAGCGTACTCGGGGACCAGGGGAGAGATACAGCCCGCCTTACCCACCACCCCCAGGCAGGCCTGTCAGCTTCAGCGTCCTCTCTCACCTCCCGCATCCAGGTGCTGAAGGGCCTCTGCCAGGAGCTGGCCTTCTCCAGGCGGAGGTAGGCGTTAAAGAGAATCAGGTAGATGTAGCGCTCCAGGTACTGCAGGCTCCGCAACTGCAGCCTCCGAGCCTCCTGCGCCTCTTTGGTGGCCTTCGCCTGCAGGACAAGGAGGATGGTGTCAGCAAGGAGCCCTATTGTCTGATGCATCTCCATGCTCCCACACTGCCTGAGCACCAAGCAGAGTGACTTCAGCGGCAGGGCCTGGGGTGCTGCCTGGCTTGGCTGTAGGGGAGTCCCATGGGGGACCAATTCCTGGTGGGGGGGGACAGTGTCTTGAACCCATTTCCTACTGAGAAGGGCTGTACTTCCTCCCTGAAGATCATGCTGCTCCAAAGTCATGTTGTCTGCTGGAAAGCTGACATCTAAGGTACAGAGGGTGAGATGCCCAGCCTGGAGTCCCCTAGAAGGACCCTGTTGCCGACTCCTGTCAACATGGTTCCCAGTCTCCCAGGTCTGGCTCCTCTCTCCCAGTCCCCTAGCATCCCCGTGGAGGCACATAGGGCTCTGATTATGACCTGGCAGGGGGCCAATGGCAGAGAGCTCTGCCGCAGCCTCTAGCCCCAGGTGGGTAGAGCGCAGGACCTCTCACTTTTAGCAAGCTCCTGTCAGGCGCCGTCTCTGGAAATGGTACCAGGTCACAGGCTGGAGAAAAGGAGACGGCAGAGCTGATGGATGGGAAGTTCCCTAGGGAAGATGGGAGTCTGGATGGGCAGTGAGGACCCTCATGGGCCTGACAGTGAGAATGTGCACCAGTGGGGACAGGGACAAGGTAAGGGACAGTGACAAATCTGTGTGGGAGATGTGGCCTGCTAGCCTGGGAGGAGAGAGAATGCCACCAGTGTCACGTAGGACATTAATTAATCCTACCCATGGGGTTCACAGCCTCACTGCTCATGAGAACCACATGGAACCTTAAAATGCAAGCACCTGGGGTTCATCCCAGATTGGCCAATGAGGGTCTCAGAGAGGTGGGGTGTGAGCACCATGCAATTCAGCACCGGAAGTCACTGACGGTTGGCTAGTGCCAGTAGCCTGTTGGAGGAAGACACTGTGGGAGACACATGCTCAAGAGAAAGAGGACATTAAAAAGGGAACACTTTCAAGGCTCTTTTCAGTGGGGAAACACGCCAGGGACACTCATAAGATCTGGGACATGCAGTCAGCCTCGCCCCTGTAGGGTGGTCTGTCCCCATATCCCAGTCTGCCCACACAGCTATGGGAAGTATCCCCAGAGGGAGAAGGCCACCCAGACCCGTACTATCCGATCCTCACATCCTGGGGCCTCCACCCAGGCCTATTGCAGCTCTTTGATCCAGGGGGAATAATGTGTGGCATGGAATGTCCTTCAAGTGACAGCGTTATCTGTGGGCAGGCACAGCCAGCCCCAAGGGGCCAGGGAAGGCTTCTCTCCCAACAGCTGGGCTGCAGATGGAAGCCCTTCCATGAACACACACAGTGCCGGCCTACATACTCTGGGAAAACTCCAGGGTCGCCCCCACGCCGGACGCGACCCAGCCCAGCACCCTAAAACTCACAGCTGGAGAGGGCCTGCTTTGGGAACATACGAGGGGAGGTAACTGGCAAAGCCGGAGACCCGGGGGAGGGAAGCAAGGAAGAAAATGGTACCAGAAAGGGCTTGAGGTCAGGGACAGTACCCTGGATCCCTGGAAGACAACGAGGCTCACCCCATGGCTGCAGTTCTGACTAAACAGGTCTGAAGCCACAAAGGTGAATCCACCTGCCCTGCCCCGTGGGAGGCTCCAGTGGCTACAAAGCAGCTTAGTGGCTGTGTCAGGAAAGGAGGGGGAAGAGCAATAAGAGGAAAGTGACCTGCAGTGTGTGAGGAAGAAGAGGCAGGAGGCAGCAGGAAGACAGGCTGGGGTCAGGAGGGAGGTGTGGCCTCAGCGTAGAAAAGGGGGCAGCTTGGACAGTCGGGTTAGCAACAGGGGAAGACAGGTGGGTTAGTTTTGATCATTGCCAACTCAACACAACATAGAACCACCTGGAAATAGCCTCAGGGAGGAACTGTCTAGATTAGGTTGGCCTGTGGGCATGCCCATGAGAACATTTCTTAATTTAGTTAGCTGAGGCGGGATAACCCACTCTGAATGTTGGCAGCACTGTATCATGGGCTAGGCCCTGAGATGAGTGAGCGGGAGAGAGAGCTGGCCAAGCGATGCCATGCATTAACTCAATGCTCACTGCTCTTGACTGTCAGTGTGATGGGTGACTTGGCTGATACCAGCTGCTTCAGACCCCCACAGTGGAGGACTGTATCCTGGAACTGCAAGCCAATCAGAGCTTTTCCCCCTTAAGGGCCTTTGTCAGGGGGTTCTTATCACAGAAGAAGGAAGAGAAGCTAGATGCAGGCTCAGAGCTCGGCAGAAGCCAAGACCAAGGGCCAGAGCAGCTGCGGCAGAACACACAGGGCAGGAAGCGGGTCACATACTATTTTAAGGATTAACATCGTGTGCTCCAAAAAACATCAATTTTGCTTATAGGCAGTGGATGTTAGGGAAAAGAAAAAAAAATAGAGTTTACTTAAATGAGAAGCACGTGGCCAACACAGTGGCATTGTCTGGTGAGCTGGTGCACACTGCATGGGTGAGGTAGCCCCATCCCTCAGTCTGCCTCTCTTCTCCCAGTCTCCTCTGGACCCTGGAGTGTGTTCAGGAGGACAAGTGCTCTTTGGAAAAGCCATTTTAAACTGCTTCCAACCGAGGCTCAGGAGAAATGCCCCACCTCACCTGGCACGGCCACACCATACCAGCACTGTCCCAAGACACCGGCAAGAATGAGGTCTGAGGTACGCCCGGCGAAGGGCAAAGGACGTCTTTCTCCCTACCAAGGGTAGAATTATCTCTAAATCCAGACGCTGTGTGAAGATGCTGCCTGACACCCCCAGAGGTTCCCATGGACACATCCTGCCTCTGGCCACAGGGCTGTGATTTGCGACAACGGTCCATCTGCCTGTCACAGCCCAGTTTCCTTAAAAGCAGTCCATGCTGGCCCAGTTCCGGGAGCGGGCACCCGGCCACCTCCAGTGCATAAAAGTAGCCGAGCTGTTTTTAAATGGTTCGGCAGGCCAAGCTGTCATTAGCTTCCATGAACCTGGACAAAAGCTTCCTGGACCCTTTGGAACTGAAACCTAAAATAAAAAGGGCCCAGGAGAGACACCAGGGCTGCGGGGGACCACAGGCTTCACCTCTGACCTGTCACCTCTGACCTGTCTGGCATGGATATAGGTCTCGCTCTGTCAGTATGGCTGTCTGGCAGTTCCTTGCTGGGTCAGGAGTAAATGTGAGGCTGACCTCTGTGCCTTCACCCACTCTGTTCCTTCTGCCTGCATTTCCCTTCCTCTCTACCTAGCCTAGCCATAGTCAACTTGTCCCCCAGGCTCAGGACAAGCCCCTCTCCACAGCCTGCTCTGAGCAGTCCAGGCTCTACAGCCTCCTTGCTCTCAAGCCGAACCATTTCATTAAGGCAGGGTTTCTAATTGCTTCATGGAGACAGGACTACGAAGCCTAGGGTGGGCGGAGGTTGCCAACAGTTTCCGATCTCTCTGTCCCTACTCCAAAAGGTCTGCAGTAGAGCTTGGGATGCAGCAAGCCTCTGACTGGTGAGTACCCTCCCCGTAGTCTAGATTCTAGAAAGATGTTGGGACACCCAGTCCCCCAACACACACACACACACACACACACACACACACCCTCAGATGCCTGCACAACACTTCAATGGATATCTGTCAAGTACCCCAACTCATCACCCATGTCCCCCTGAAATCACTCATCCCCACAAGTTGGCCATCTTAGTGACAATTGCCTCCTTCCAGGGACAGGGGCTAAACTCTGGCTGCACAGCCAATTCTCCCTTCCTTGATTTGCATCTCAACCAGGAAATCCCACTGGCTCCCCTTCAACACACTTCCAGAGGCTGCCCTCCCCTTGTCAACTGCTCCCAGCCACCCTATCCCAGTGACAGTCCCTTCCTGGCACACCTCCATGCCCCAGGAGAAGAATGGCTTGTCCTGGAAGACCATCCCAGTAGACTAAGAGCCAGAAGGGACATGAACAGACAGCTTTTCCTATTTAGGCAAATATTTATTCCACCTGCCATCTACCATCCACTCACTGGACACTGCAGAGGCCTGCTGTGCCCGGCAGGGTCCTGGGAGCTGAGCTGTGGAATGAACTGAGCACCCCCCCAGAGAGTGAGAGCTACAAGCAGAGACAGCACAGGGGCAGGTCCCAGGGAGACGATGTCAGGGCTAGATGCTGGAGTTGACCCTAGGACCTCTAAGTCCAGTGGTACACAAATACCATGCCAGGCACAACACAGAGGTCACTTGTAGGGCCGAAAAGTTTCCAGCCCAATCAGCAACCATGGGAAGGAAGGGAAATGAGGATCGGCTGCCGACAGGGGCCCTAGAGACACAACGGAAACACACTCATGAACACACAAATGCTCACACTCACATACACGTGCACGCAAGCTCTATCCGGCTGCACCAGTTTCACTGGCTCTATTCTGAGCTGGCCGTGAAGAGCCTTAGGAAGCAGCCCTTCCTCCTGTCATGGCGCTCATGACATTCTGAGGCTACTCTAATTACAGGGCGGGGCCCTAGAGACTCATTACCTACTGAAATGAGGTCTCCGGGGACAGTGAGGCTCTTAGAGAGGCTTAGAGCGGCTGAGACCCATCAGGGCTCAGCGCCTGAACCATCTCACTTTCTGTTTTTCTTAGGAAATGACTTTAGTCCTTGGGGCACTGAGCTGATCTCTCCGCCTCCTGGCAGCTCCTGTTTGCTAGGTCTATTCTACATAACCAAGACAGCACACGGCACACGCAGAAGCAGCCATGGCTTCCTCTATAACCCTTCCTCTTTCTGATACCATGAAATTGTCCCCTGGGTCCTGAATGCCATCATGGAGGAAAAGGAGGCTAGGACAAAGTAGAAGATAAAGTTCTGGACCCGCTTCCAGTCAGGTACAAATCCTCCTCGGGCCTCAGTTTCTTCTTCAGTAAAATGGGTCTAATAAAACCTTCCCTGACTTCCTTACCTCTCTGAGGACGGGAATAGCCAAGTGCTGAGTTCT